AATAGTCTCATCCGTTATGATAGTGTCCCAATCAAGTTTTTTGCACCAGATTATTTGCATCAATATTTTTCCCTCAACAATAACTGGATTTACTAAACCCAAGGGATCAAAACACTGAGAAATTGAAGAAAGAATTTTTCACTTAGTTGGGAACTTATCGTCTAAAATTTCGGGTGTTGATATACAAAAAACATCTTCCATAGGGTGCCATTTCAGACCTAAAATCTTGTCAGGAGATTTATCAATATTTATGTCATATTCGTGAATAGTTTCGTGTGAAATTTTGTTTAAGAAGTCTCTAGAATTTGAACACCATTAGTGTAAACTAAAAACACACCGTTTCAAGAGGAAGTTCAGTTCATTATAAAGATCTTTCAATTCGTTGTAATCATCACAACCTGCCAAAATATCGTCCATATAACATTGTGTCAAAATGGAATCTTTTGCTCTTGGGTATTTATCAGAATCGTCGGCAATTTGTTTTAATACACGTGTGGCAACATAGGGAGCGAAATTAGTGCCATATGTTACCGTCGATAATTCTATACATGCTAAAGGGTTATCAGGACTCTCCCGCCATAAGATATTTTGAAGAAATCTATGATCGGGGTTTATTTTTATCTGGCGGTACATTTTTTGCACATCAGCCACCAGTGCAAACCTAAAGAGTCTAAATCGGGCTAAAATATCGTACAGATCGGGTAGTACTTGGAAACCTTAATGTGATGTCATTTAGGGCATAACCTGTAGAGCTCTTTGCCGAAGCATCGAAAACTACACGTAACTTTGTAGTGACACTTGATTCTTTTATGACACATAGGTGGGGAATAAAATATTTGTTTTCATCTAGGGAATTTCTTTGAGTTAGAGGAACATATTGAGCGTGGCCAAGAGAAACATATTCTTGAATAAATTGCTTGTAATCAGAAAATAGCTTAGGATCTTTTTCAAACCGCTTTTCAAGTGCAAAGAACCTTTTTTTAGCGATCATGAAGGAATCGCCCAATTTTTGATGCTCATTCTGAGATTTTAAAGGAAAATCCACTTGGTAAGAGCCATCTTCTAGTACCTTAGTAGTTGAGACGAAAATGTCTTCTACTTGTACATCTTCAGGGGAACAGACAGGATCTTCAGAGACTTTTTCTAAGTCCCAGAATTTTGTCAAAGCATTATCGAGTTGAGAGTTTGTGAACGGCTCAATTTCTTGAGAAAAATTACATGAAGAGAAGAACGAGTTATTTTGAGTATGAAAAGATAGACACTGAGATGGAACATTTCCAGCTATTATCCAGCCCAAGTGTGTATTCAACAATGTAGGGTAATTTGTGCCCAAATTTAGGAACTCATGAGAGAGTAAATTGTAGTACAAATCTGCACCGATAAGTATGTCAATGTCAGTAGGTGTATAGAACTTAGGATCGGCAAGCTGATTTAAAATGTCCCTTGGAATTTTTAGATTATCCACTTCAATGGGCACTTGAGGTAGCCTATGAGTAATATGGTCTAACACAGCACAGGAGATTCTAAAACGTTTTTCTGGATTGACATTTGAGTACAAAAATACATCAATCATTTTGTTGGACAGTGTATTATTCTGAGCTATTCCTGATATATTGAGAACTCTATGATAGGGTTTCAGTGAGAGCTGATCAAGTAAATTTTGAGTAATAAATGAGTTCTGAGACCCATTGTCCAGCAAAGCTCTAGCCTCTATAGGTTCACCTTGTTTAGTATACAGAGTAACTCTCGCAGTAGCTAAAAGTATTTGAGAATATTTTGAGGAGGGTGCAGAAACCGAGGCAGAGACAGAGAATGATCGGGATTGAGATTCTTGAGAAATGAGTCGAGAACCATTAATGTTTAAATTTGGCGAATAATTTGGGGATGAGATTAAATTTGGGCTCTGAGTTTGTTCCCAATTTACACTACTGGTTAGAGATTGACTTGGGAGTTGATCGAGAGCTTGATTGTCTTGGTGATTACGGTGAAATTGGGGTCGAGAGTTATAATTAGAGTTTTGTCGTGGTTGAGAGTTTGGATTTGAACCTTGAGGAGTGTTTTGTGAGTGAAGAGAGTTTTGAGCTCGATTTTGAGCCTGATGTGCAGAGTTAGAGTTTATGGGAGAAGTTGTAGGTCGCATTGTAGGTATGTGAAGAATAGCGTGATGCTTCCTATTACAATGGCCACATTTACGAGACGAGGTACAAGTATTCAATGAATGCTTGCTTCCGAAACAATTTCTACATAATCTTTTTGAATTTATAAATTTCAGTTTGTCATCATGAACAAGGGATATGAATTTCTGGCAAGAATAAATACGGTGGCCACGAGTGTTACAGTATAGACATAAAAAATCAGTCAATGAGGAACGACGTGGCTCCTGCTCTCTATTTTGTTGCTGACCTAACAGGGACACTCTCTCTTGCTTTCTATTATGAGTATTATGTGATGTGTCATGATTGGAGGATAGATTTTCAAGAATAAGACACCGTTTGTCCAGAAATTCAAAAAATCCATTAAGATCTGGCAATTTTGTTAAGTCACACTCTTCTTCAAATAATTATTATACTATTATAAAAATACTATTATAAAAATCTAGCTTTTTCTGAAATATATTAATGAGAAATAGTTCAAACATTTGAGAATCCCAAATTTTTAAATTCTTTAGAGCGTCCAAACTTTTTCTAGAATTCGTTACAAACTCCCGCAGATTTTAAATATTACATTTTGAAATTGAGGGTGTATCCATTATAGAATTTACATAAGCATTCACAATACAATTCAAGTTTCCATATCTATTTTCCAAAATATCAATTGCTGTTGTAAAATTATCATTTGTAACTTGCAATGAGTCAATAACGCTCAAAGGCTCTCCTTTCAGGAACGATTTTAAGTAAAAAAATCTTTGAACGTTTGTGAGTAGGGCATTATTAATTATAAGTGATTGAAAGAGTTCGTAAAAAGAGTGCCATTCAGTTGAGTTACCAGTAAAAGGTGCAATTGTAATATCTGGCAACTTAACACCAACATTTTTTTGTGAAGGAGCAGAAGAGTGAGCTGGTTGGTTGCCTTGAGTAGTTAGATTACTTAAACAATCATTAACTAGAGAAAAAGTGTCGTAAAATGTATTTTCTGAGCTCACCCTATCCTCTGCATCTTCCTCACCAGAATCTTCAATTATGTCTTGTGCAGAGTTATATTTATCAAAAGCATTTTGCAAAGTGACTAAACGAGTTTGAAATTGACCAATATCTTGAACCGTGCTTTTATTTGTCAGAACCCAATTGAAAATTCTTGTTTGAGAGGATTTGGCAGATTTACGAATAGATTTTAGTTGATCTAAATCCATTTTAACTTTGGGCAATTAAAAAAAATACAAATCGAAAAATCAAGACCCTTACCCTAAAGAAAATAGTATAAGCGAATACCTTAAACCTAGAAAGAAAAGTAAATAAGTTTTTATAACTCAACTTTACAGAGTAGAAAAATTCAAACAATGGGCAAAATAATCAAATCAAAATAAATCTAAATATGCAAATAAATCAAGGTATTTTTTTTTTGTTTTTAAATGCAATAAATAATTCAGTAAATAAATAATTAAGCTTAAAAAACCAAGTGTGAGAGAGTGAGAGTCAATATTTACAATATTTTGTATAACATTCAAAAATAGGAACAATGAAAAAATCACTGTGTTTTAATTATAGAGCATTAGAGTATACTGAACACCGAGCTGAACACTCTAGTCTTGAAATAAATAAAGTACAAGTTCTGTTACCTTTTGTGAAGGTCGACGAGGGAGTAGAAGATCTCGAAGAACGACTTACCAATCTCGGTACCAATTTATCTGCTTTCCGGCAAGTATCCCAGAAACTTACTTGTGGATCGAGTTGTTGATGGTTGTTGATCATTAGCAACAAACAAGGGATAAAGGGACAGCAGCACACCCCCAATCCGGCTCGAAGGACCAAAATGTTCGGGCCTCTAACTGAGGTGTCAACATTTAATTTAGGGATAGATCACTAGATCATAAAGGGGATGGGAATGTCACTGCTAAATAATGCACTCACACTTCCAGTTTTATATCTCTCTATTGTTGCCAAAATAATCGTTTAATAAAGTAATAAATACTGTAACCACATTCAAGTACTTTTAATTATCCACAGGTTAGTTAACAAGTCGCATTTGAGTTATTCGAGAACATTCACTACTCGGTATAAATTCACTAGTTGTAAGTGCTCAATAGTCAATTTAACAATAATTGTCAGTATTAGCGGAACGCTAATATTTTAGTTGAGAGCACAAGATAAAGTTTATTCTTAATAGAAATCTTCGGGAGTTGAGAGTTTTTATATTTTTAGAGGGCCCTTAAAAAAGGGGAGTGTGATTAACTCAATGTTTTACGCGATATTATATCACTTGAGTTTTCAAGCCAGCAGCCAGAGAGATAAAAAAATAAGTCTTTTTATTTAGAGAGCAAGAGAGAGAGACTGCACAAGGGTGCAACTAGAGAGAATAATTAAATAATTAGAGAAAAGTGAGCAGGTTCAAACTTGTATAGAGCTAGACGTTTTTACGCACTATTTACTGCTAGTGAAACCACACTACTAAAATCACAAATCACACTGCGAAGTGAAAAAGAGAGGGAACTGCCACTGTGATCATAAAAAATAAATATGATTGTTTGGCTGTTTCCACAACAGAATGAAACGTTGTACAACTCACGTTCTTTTAAAAATGACTACAAAATTCGTGTGATTAGAACAACCCGGTCTACGACCTCGTCGTCCTAATCTTTTACAAAACTCGTTATTGTATTCCATAAAATAAAATTATTTTATGGAATATATACCCTTGCAACTATTTATTACAGAGGCTGAGTTTTATATTGACGCAAATTAAATCGCCCGAAAAATTTAAAAATCTCGGTAATCCCCTATAATAAAATTATATCACAGTCGAATTAAATTTTTATCCAGTTAGTATAAAATAGAAACCATAAGGTTTTTCCTTATTTCTTCTAGAGATTTTGTAATTATGTTTTCAATTTTAAGTGTGCTGGTAACAGTGATTGTAGCCATTGCTAGGTGAGTTAATTTAAAAAAAAATACTGTCACGGATTCCGCGAATTCACTGAAAATCAATTCAGAAACAGTAACAACTTTTATTAAACTAATGGTTGTTTCTACCAACTATTTTAGGGAAGCCTTAACGATAAGTATTCCCTAAACTGAAATTTTTCCATGCAAAACTGTAATTTTAGGGAATACTTATCATTAAGGCTTTCCTAAAATAGTTGATGAAAACGGCCATAAATGACATTAAATAAATTCACTTATCGAAACTTACACAACGAATCTCGAATTTGAACTGAACTCAACAACATTCCTATAACTGACCACAACAAAGCTCTTATGTAGACTAACTCCAATATTTATACCAAAGAATCCTATACTACTATGCGCTATTCATAGTGTCAAAATCGTACTCCGGATCTATCTTCTAGAGAAACATCGAATACAATATAAAAATTCGCCAATCACCTATATTTAAACTGAATACAACAACACTCCTATTTGAATTTAAATTGACTCACTACGCACTATTTATAGACGACATCATTGTATCCGGGATTTTTCTAGAAAACTTTTTTCTCCTTCTCGAATATAAAATAAAATTCCTAAAAAAACTGGATTCTCAGATCTTCTTCTTCTTCTCCTTAGTATCGCCCTCTCTGTTCTGACTGCGGTCTAATTAGGACGGGCCTTACAGTTTAACGTGAAGCTCCCTTACCCTGAAGCGCCAGAGATCTAATGGGCCAGGCTCTCAATGCAATTTCGTGATACTGCTTTCCTCTCAAATCCGATCGTGCTGATCTGACGTTCAAGATGTACCACTTTCTTTTCTGTGTCTATACCTCCAGTCAGATCCCTATCGATTCCACATCTATTCATTTGCTTATCATCTCTATGACCTCTCGACTATCCTGACTTTCCAGATCTCACTCCACGTGGCTCTTCTTTCCTTGCACTGCCGTCACAGGAGGTAGAAGAATTGCTATGCTGTTCCTGATATTCGCTGCCATCCTGTCAGTCGCCAAAGTAATTAGTTTTTTCACCTAATTTCTGTATAACAGATACTGCTGCCTAGTGTTTCCATTTAAGGGTACCCCTTATTGTTTAAATAAGTTTTATTTTTAGCCATATATGTTGACATTACAGACTTTTTAAAAATTTGAAAATGTCACTTAACTGTCTTTTAATTTCCCTGCTCCATTTTCCGTCCTCATTTCCCGGCCTCACTTCCCGTCCTTATTTCATTATACACTTCGCATCAAAATTAACGCACCACTAAAATTTGGCACAATTTCAAATTTAATTTTCTCGGAAACTGCTGAATCGATTTGGACATATTTTTTTTTTAATTGTAGCTTAAATCTTCAGGAATGACTCTGTAAAACAACTTTTCATTTGAATCGAAGTTTTAGGCATATACAGGGTGTTTTAAAAGAAACCAGTTTGATGCCTAATTTTTGTCACATCCTGTGGGACTTTCCATCTGCACCAATAGATGTCTATCTAAATCAAAACATAGCCCCATCTTTTCTGAGCATTTTGTTTTTTTATTCACGTTTCTAGCTCTGTTATTTAATGAAATATGGAGTTTGAAGTTAAAAGCGTTTATTTGAGATTATTCAAGAAAAAGTTTCGGAAGTTAACAAAACAAAAATAAAATTATTGAAAAAATAATGTGGAAAAAAAAAACATTCAATATCGGGTGTTTCTTCCCCTACTCTCTATTACCGCTTTGAACCAGACGTCTTATTTGTTCTTGATCGATATTAATCCAAATTTCTCGAACAAAGTTTTCTACATCATTCAAAGACACAGGTAGGGGTTGATGATCTCTAAGCTGCCTACCAATTTGATCCCATAAATGTTCTATAGGATTGAGATCTGGACTGCGTGAAGGCCAGTCCAGAGTCTCAATATCCACCTCATTCAAATAATCTCGCACTATTCTCGCAGTGTGTGGTCTGGCGTTATATGGCATTAGTAAAAAGTTATCCCCAATATACCCAGCGAAAGGGACCACATGCTCTGACAAAATTTCCGTGATGTACCTTGCACTATTTAAAGGTCCTCCACGCAAAGACACGATGTCAGTACGAGCAGTTAAAGAGATTCCGCCCCAAAACATCACAGACCCTCCATTGAATAACTCGGTTTGGCGAATATTACACTGCGAGTAACGTTCATTTGGTCGTCGAATAACCCTTACTCGTCGGTCGTTGCTGTAAAGACAAAACCTTGTCTCATCTGTAAACAGAACTCGCTCCCAATCTTCAGCATTCCAGTTTACATGTTCCCTGGCAAATTGAAGTCTTGCTCGTATATGGTCTGCATTTAACCTTGGTCCTCTTGCTGGAATTCTGAACCTTAAATTTCTTTCTGCCAGACGTCTCCTTACAGTTGATACACTAACGTTGATATTGTGAGCAGTATTTAATTGTACCCTTAGTTGTCTTGAGGTCACAAAACGTTGCCTCAACGCATTCAGTTGCAAAAATCGGTCATGGATAGCCGCTGTTCCCCGAGTTCTTCCTTGTCCACGGCGCCTGTTGTGGTCATTGGTTTCTTCAAAACGGCGAAATATGCGCAATATTGTCGAATGAGAAACACCCAATCTTCTACCTACAGCTCGGTAGCCCATTCCTTCCTGGATCAATGTAGTCGCCATCACACATTCATCTCGAGTTAAATTTCTTGTTTGACGCTCCATATTTTGCAATGATAACACCAAATGCAGAGAAATTACAGAATAAATTCAAAAATCACTGACAGATAAAGACAGTAGTCTCTGTTTCCATGACAATATCGCGCCTTTGTTTTCCATGGCCTACTTAGATTTACTTACCTGACGGTTATAACTCTTCTTCTTCTTCTTCTTTCTTCTTTTTTCCACATTATTTTTTCAATAATTTTGTTTTTGTTTTGTTAACTTCCGAAACTTTTTCTTGAATAATCTCAAATAAACGCTTTTAACTTCAAACTCCATATTTCATTAAATAACAGAGCTAGAAACGTGAATAAAAAAACAAAATGCTCAGAAAAGATGGGGCTATGTTTTGATTTAGATAGACATCTATTGGTGCAGATGGAAAGTCCCACAGGATGTGACAAAAATTAGGCATCAAACTGGTTTCTTTTAAAACACCCTGTATATGCCTAAAACTTCGATTCAAATGAAAAGTTGTTTTACAGAGTCATTCCTGAAGATTTAAGCTACAATTAAAAAAAAAATATGTCCAAATCGATTCAGCAGTTTCCGAGAAAATTAAATTTGAAATTGTGCCAAATTTTAGTGGTGCGTTAATTTTGATGCGAAGTGTATTTATGTAGCAGCTATTGCCAAGTTTTTTTCAAAATTGATGACAATGACATAAAATTTTAACAAATAGCATGAAGCTACGTTCACATTCAATTTCATTTCTAATTTAAATTGGCAAAAAAATATGGTTAAAAATAAAAAAGTATAAAATCTGTTTTTTTTTTTAAAGATAATTCCCCAAGTCAAAAATTTAGTAACTATGTTGGCAACACAAGCCTTTTCTACATAATTTGGAAGCATTGGCAATTTTACATTGTATTGCCAACATAATGTCATTTTGACTTTTATCTTTAAAAAAAAACAGACTTTACTATGCTCGACAGGAAATTTAATTACTGTCTCGAGATATAGTTTATCTCGACGCTACGCGTCTCGATAAGCTATAGAATCTCTCGACACTAATAGCTAATTTCCCGTCTCGGATTGTAATATACTATTGCCGTTCTAGAGATTAATTCTTTTTAAAAGCTTATTATGCAAATCTGGATTAAAATAGCTCGGCAGCTTGAACAGCGTTAATTTTAAATAAAAGTTGATACCTTATGGTTATTTTACATCAAAATAATAATGGCAGAAACTGTTTTTTGAATTTATAATAGCAATGCAAACCCATTTTTCAAAGGATTCTCCGCACATTTCTTCATGTCTATCACCGGATTCTTTCATAGTGCATCTATCATAAATCCTTCTTCGCTTCCGATGTGGCATATCATAAGCTTTTTTCCCTTTCCTAGAAAAATCAATATCAACATAATATTGTTAAACTAACCGCAAGTCGATCTAAAAAGCCTTCTCGGGATGATGAGACCGAGATACACTCAACCAAATAGTAGCATAAATAAAAAGAAGTTGAGTGTTCTTTGATTTAATGAACAATTCATCAAAATCGGTCCAAAGAACTGCTTCTTTGATTACATGAACTCTACGTTATTGAAGGAAGAACAATTTTTTAATTCCTATTTGGATTCATCTTGTGTATGAACAACGAACATTGAAGTATGTGGCAAGGTTTTTGTATTAATGAAACTTTTCATAGTGACAATAAACATCGTTCTTAGTTTATATGTACTTTTTCATTGGCCCGATGAACAGACGGCATACTATTAATGAAGCCCAGATATAATTCGATGAAACCCTTCCATTGTATTTATGAATCAAAGTCTTGAATACTAAGAATTTTATTCATTGTATTTATTAATGACGTTTTCAATAATATGTACCCTATTCTTTATTTTTATTAAAATAATTTCATGAATTATGCCTTAAATATACTTATGATTTTCAATGGTGTACAGGGTCATTTTTTATATTTGCGTGACCCCTGTACTGGTCAATATGAGCAATAGGAAAAAAACTTTTTCCTACGAGCGTGCGCAAAGTAGTACTTTTCCGCACGCATTTCCGGGCTCAAAGTTACACTTTTCCGCACTCAGTGCGGATACAGGCCTTATCCGCACTGAGTGCCGAAAAGTAATTATAATTGTCAAGCAACAATAAGTGCACCTGTCGACTTTGACACATGATGACAAATTTTTCCTCTATTTCTATATCAGCCAACATCTATACAAACACCAATTATAAATTAACTTTGACACATTGTCAGATTTGTTCTCTATTTATATGCAAAAATCTACAAACTTTCTCATCAAATTTAAACGCTTTAAGATGAACAGCTCTGACGAGGATTTTCTGTTTT